CGTGATGTACGTTTTTTGGGGGGGGTTAATGAAAGTGTTCCAAAACGCGACATTAATTTCTTGACCACCTAATACAACCAGCCAACGATTTTATCCCTTAATTAGAGTACTAAAATTGTTCGTGCGTGGCCGTTGATTATTAGTTCTATAATCCGTCACCAGAGTGCTACATCAAAAGTAACTAGCTGAAAAGTGAAGTATATAAACCTCAGTAAGTTGAAGGTGGCGCAAGGCACGGTGGAATGTATACACGACTAACAGAAAATAATTGTAGCCTTGTAAAAATCTTTATTATATCGACGTTTCGCCTTAAGAGTTTTTCAAGAATGTGTCGTCTAAACGCTTCGAAAGTGTGCTAGTTAAACAGCATTAGTTTCTTTTAACTTCTACAGGGTTCAAAAACTTGCTTCAATTGTAAACTAGTGTATCTGGATGTTTTGAAATTATTCAGATATTAAAGTTTACGGTAATAAAAAATGAAGATTTTACCGTTTCTTATTATAACCAACATCATATAAGTAATCAGATGTAATATATTTGGTTATTCAACAGCTGTCTGTCCACAATTAATGCAAAATGTTCGCAATGTTCCCTTTTCATTTCAATATTCACAATGTTTCATTTTAATAAAAGTTTATCAGTATTCCATTTCAATTTACTGACTCTCGGAAGTGAATTTTTTTGCACATGTTATTAAATGAACTCGCATTTTAACCATTGTTTCTTATGTCATTTTCGCCCCCCCCCCCCCAGTGGCACAGCGGTATGTCTGCGGACTTACAGCGCTAGAATATGGGTTTCGATACCCATGGTGGGTAGAGCACAGATAGCCCATTGTGTAGCTTTGTGCTTAATTACAAACAAACATATGTCATTATTTCTATTAAAAATGCTTTTCTTTGAATAACTATAAAACTAACTTACACAAGTGGTGGCTCAGCGGTAACCTAAACTAACCTGTGTGTGTGTGTGTAGTATATATATATATATATATATATATATATATATATATAGTAAAACCAGGGATAAGCTTGAGAGATTATAACGCTAAAATTTATAGTTCTGTTAGTACGGCGAACACAGCCCAGATTTTCATCCCAAATCATAAAAAATATAATTTCTAAATTGCACAAAACCTTTTATTTTAAGTGTGCAAAAATTCTAATATGAAAAAATTACAGGTAAATACATTCTAAACCACACAACCCATTGTTGAGCTTTTCGGTTAATAACTAATATACAATTGTTTTGAAATGTTTATTTTTATTATGCTCCATTTTATTTATTTATTCATTTTTTGGATCAAGGTAATGAAAAAGAAGAGGGCCATTATGGATTTTGGACACTCTGCTCAGTGAGAGCGCCACATTTCACCATAGACTGTGACCCTCTGGACACATTCTTTAAGCTACCACCACACAGTGGAGTCGCTGGGGTTCTGGCAATTATTCATGTGTTGATACAAACGCTTTTCTTCATATTTGCTGTATTGCGTGTAATACAAGTGGCAAATAATGCGCCAAATATCTGCCTTCGCCCGAAAATAATCTGCCTTGTGAAAGTGACATTGTCTTTAATACTAGGTAAAGTACTTGTATTGTTTACGTCCACTATACGTTTGTCGTTTAAGGAGCAATTCATTAAATTGCACGCACGCGAAGAAACGATATAATTATTGTATACATTGTAACATAGAATTTACATACCGCAAAAAAGCCTCATTTGTGACATTAAATTCACAGTTATTTATTAAGTCTACAATATTATAAATGTAATTTTGTACAGAACACACACGTCTTTATACTGAACATACATGTCTACTTATTAAATATACACGCTATTAAATGTACATTTACATGTTCATATAACAAGTATGTATTAGATTTCCACTTAGTCGTCGTCGTCGAGGTAGGTATTTTGATTTAAAACCAGGGGTGTTCAGAAATTTGGATTTTTTTTGCCCCGAAAAAACTTAGATACATACGTATGTCTATTTATATCTACCACCAATAGAGTAACATGACGTCATTCAATACTAGCCAGATTTAGATGTCACGAACAATTCATGTGTTAACTTAGCATTATTTACTTAGATTAATATGGTGAAATATTCATTCAGTTGCACAATATAACAAGTCTAGTGAATTTGTCTTTCTACACAAGGGAGGTCTGAAAGATATTTCAGCAGATCATCATCGTTCAGTAGGCTTTATGACGTCATCTCTGGCATTTCAAGTGGGAGTAAAAATAACGCGATTAGGCCTAATAATAGAGTAATTTTCCATTTTAAAGCGAACTTTATGCATGTAACTACTGGAGATTTTAAGCACGGAACAAGCATATTGCAAAGAAAGCAGAAACGATATTATAATTCGACATAGAACAAGAAGAAACGTTTCAAAAAAATAATTGTGACCTTTAGACCTTTGAACCTACCACAGTGGTTCTGTAAACTTGATTAGGGCCATTTAGTGGTCTTGCTGATTTTAGTAACTTATCTACTAATATATATAGTGCAAAACAGTACTGAAATTCTACAATCTATATATATAATTGCCAAATGTCTGTCTGTCACGCCATGCATTTCTTGAACGGTTAATCGAAGAAAAATCATATATCAAAATTCTTCTTTTCAAAAGTACATTACTGGAAAATTATTCATTATTTGCGATTCCTAACATTTCATATCGATATCAACATCAATCAAACGTATGTGCTGAATAAAAATTCCAACGTATTCATTTTTGTTGTTTCACATAATGGCCTTTAAGTGGCTCAACGGTAAGTCTGCGTAACTGTAACGCTAACAAACCAGGTTTCGATACTCGTGGTGGGCACAACAAAGATAGCCCAATGTTTTACATAATAATTAATAATCACTATGAATAACTACGTATCCTATAGACAAAAGTTGTTTGTTTTTTTTAAAATACAATTATGCCCCCAACCAGAGCTCTGTCCTTGGACTCCATTGGGATCCTAAGCGGTCGCCAAGCCTCGCCCAATTAGCGTTATGGTAAAAACGTCTGTGGATTAAGCCTTTTTTGAAACGATTAATTGCGTTAATTCTAACATATTTCTTCATGGTTCTTATTCATTGTTCACGAGTGATGCTTCTGTAGCGCCTGATACGTTTTATGCAGAAAATACAAACAGATGGACCACTATGATGCATAATCTAGATGAGAAACGAAGAAAAACATTCCAAATTAGGCTTACGTATCACTGACTGTGTTTAATTAGCATACATTCATTAATTCCGGTTATTTAATGCATTGGCATTATATAGGTCTTCATATTTGTTTCCTTATTGCAACCGGAAGTAATTACAAATACATTTTAAGCTGGTCTACGTTAAACCATAATAGCATAATTCTGATACAATCTATTGATCGCTCTTGCTTGTTTGGTTGGTTGAACTTGAGCACAAAGCTACACTCTGGGCTATCTGTGCTCTGCCCACCACGGGTATCGAAACCGGGTTTCTAGCGTTGTAAGTCCACAGACATACCTCTGTGCCACTGATCGCTCGTGTATCATTCCAGTAACTTTATTGTTACATTCGCCCAACATGAAAGGTCTTTAAGTAAGGAGACATCTGGTAAAAAGTTTGAAAACTAAACAGCTACACATTGTTGCTTTGAAAATATATTTTCGGAGCTCTGTTGGATCTTGTATTATTTATTACACTGAACTATTTTTTTTAAAAAAAATCACAAAATAATTTCAATAGTTCACACTAAAACTTTTTAGTGTTCAACATAGGAACATCAAAATATTTATCTGGAGTCATTTTGGTTCATGCGCCGTCATCATTAGTTTTTTTAAATTTCGCTCAAAGCTACACGACGGCTATCTGCGCTAGCCGTCCCTAATTTAACAGTGAAAGGTAGCTAAGCATCACCACCCACCGCTCTTGGGCTATTCTTATACCAACGAATAGTGGGATTGCCTGAAACATTATAACGCCCCCACGGTTGAAAGGGCGAGCATGTTTGGTGGGACAGGAATTCGAACCGCGACACTCAGATTGCGAGTCAAACGCCCTAACCACCTGGCTATGCCGTCGTCATTAGGGCGGGAAATGCAGTTATACCCATCGTTGTATGAAATTTTCATAGAACGACGATTTAGGTAACGAATAAGTTTGTTCAGAGGATCGAGTTGAAAAAACATACAAACTCAGGTATCAAAAAGGAAAGAATGCAGAGATTTATGAAGTGTCGATGCTTCACGTAAGAATAATTAAAAAACTTTTCTGGATTGAATGATTGGAGTTTCATGTTGGTAGAGTGAATTACACTTAACTCGTTAAACTAGGCCAAAAAGGGAGCTGTTATTATTTTGTACCGATATTAGCGCCCTCTTAGCAAGCCGTACTGCTTTGAATTAGCTACATATTTTCAACTAAAAATTATTTCGGAACATCTTAGTTATGTGTGTAACACCACCCAGCTCAACGACGCGTGCTACGAGGAAGATAATGGCCTCATACCTGTCGACATACTAAAACTAATCGGTAAACAAACATAATAATACTGAGAAACTTTAATGTCTTGCTACACATGTTATGAAAATTCATAATGTAATTACTGCCTACTTCGCGTTGCTCAAATTCATTAGCTGCGGTTCTACTTATGCTACTTAAATTAGGTTGTGTTATTACTTATGCTACTACCATTCTTCGTTCATGATATAACGGTGTAGTAACCCAATTTGTTTTGTTATCCGCGAGCAAGATTTGAACCCGGAACCACTTGTACTACAAGCAAGAGCTCTGTTAACTGTGCCAATCGGTTAATCCAATGGTATTCGTTAGTAAGCACTTTTTAACAATTCCAACTACCACATTCTTGTAAAGCACTCTTTTAACAACTGAAACTATGACATCGTAAATTTTTAACAACTGAAACTAACACAACGTCAACTTTTTAACTATTCAAACTATCACGTTTTTGTAAAGCACTCTCTAACAACTACTTGGATAGTACTAAATAGCAAAATGGAATTTGACTTATCAATATGCAAATATTTTATATGAGCGTGTAGGTTTCATGGAAATACGATTGGTTACTGTATATGTCTACGTGCAGATGTTATATGTTGGTGTTGATATTAAATATGGAGCCACATTTAATGAGCTGTTTTGTGGGTTTAATATATCGCAACTGGGATTTTCCTGTCTTATAAATTTCATGGTAATTAATTCCGTTGTTATGTAAGTCACAAGATTACATTCATCGCTCGTATTTTTAACTTCTGTTGAGAGCGTTGTTAGAGATTTTATAATTGGAGCAACGTTTTTAAAAACTTAATTACATTTTTAATTTCTTGAAGATGACACACTGTATTTCATTGTAAAAATAAGGATTTTTTTAAACATTCGGGTTATCAAAGTATAAACGTGGTTAAATAATGTGATGTTGAAATAACTATACATTATTGAAAATATTTAAAAATTAGTGTTGGTTTAACTACAAGTGTTGGAAATGTTTAAATAAATTTTCTCGATATAACCACGAAGTTCTTAAAAAGATAAACATTTATAATTGAAACTTGCGTCTGTATTTAAAACTCATTTATTTAAATAAACTTACTGTACAGTGGGAACACTGAACTATTTTGGAAATGCCGTAAAATATTATTTCATTTTCATTTTGTACAACCAAAAGTACCCGTCCCCAGTGACGGGAAAAGTTTAAGTTATTCTATCAATTTGAATTATTTCATGGACTTTAAAAAGGTCAGCTGTGTTGCACTCGTGGTTTCACTTAGAGGCAAAGCTCTGAGCTACTTATACCACCCACCGCGAAAAGTAATTGTTAAGCATTTCATTTATGCCAAGAGCCGCTCAACAATAACATACGGTTAGTCTACATTTCTGTTCTTTAGGTTACGTCACATTTTGAAATGTGAATGATAGTGTGATTAATTCCTAACAATTTAGCGCAGAATATCCTGCTTGTGAAATAAAATTTGGTATCAACATTATTTATGCCTGTTCTCTAGTCAACTTCGACACAAGTCAATGACAATGGAGTCATCAGTAAATTTTAAATTTTAGTAAATTAAAAGTACAATACAACTTAGACAGTTCTTTAGAGAAAAAAGTCACAGCGACAAAATTGAATCTCATTGTAAATTGTTGCTGCAATTATTACCGAAACATGGCTGGTTTATAAACAAGGGAATATGAACATTCGATCCAAGTTCTAGAATAAACTTAGTAGGATATGCGATAGATTCCAAAGGAGATCAGAGTTGCTCCATTGTCGAGGCTAGCATCATTTTAAAAGTGAATGTTAAGCTTTGTCTGCGTGCGCAGCTTTTCAAACGGGCGACATTCGAACGCTCGGACAGACAGCACGGTTCGCAATATATATAAGATTTATTTTATATTGGATGATAATTCATTTTCTCATCAGCACAACAATGTCCTCATGAACTTTGTGTAAAGGCTGAATGTGATGACCTACTTTTATTAAATAACTTGTCAAATTTTACTTTTCATTCATTATAAAGTAATATTTTGGTTTATGTCTATGTTATATAATATTTATGTAGTTCTTTTTTATCTTCAAAAACAAAGGAATCTATTTATTTTTATTACTCACCCAAATCCTTAACCATGAAAGTGTACAGACATTCAACGCCTTTTTCTTACTCATTACGGATTTCATTTTCTTATGTTGGTATTTGCTCTTCCAGCTCTGCGACTAAACCGCGTCCTGCCCAAACATTGTTTACGTTTTACATTTTTTAAACACGCAGAAAATTGTTACTTCTACCTACAAGTTTTGTACATGTATCCAGTTTGCCGTGTAATTATATATTACAGTGTAATTATATGAACCTCTGTTTGTTTTAAACTAGTAATTCGTCATTCACGCTTTTCTTAGCTTTAAGTATTGTATTTGGATATATTATATATATATATATATATTCTTAGAACTTTTTATATTTTGGTAATGAGTTTGTATATGATGATGTACGTAACTAGAAGTCTTTACAGGTGATTTGTTTCTTGTTAGAAACTTGTGTGCGTATATGATTATTGTCCATTTCAAACTGAATTTACAATATTTTCATTGGCTGTAACTGTTCTTATTGTATTCTATTTCCTTAGTTTTCCTCGTTATATTAGTGGTTATTTTGGTCAGTGTCAGAGAAAGTCAGTTTCGTGACTACATTGTATGGAAAGGTGATGGTTTCTGGCTTGAGGTAAGTTATATTTATCCTTTTTTTTTCAGAATGTTTTTTATTATATTTGTATCGAAATTGATGGTATCTGCTAGTTTTTAAGAAAAATAGTGCATTCTAAGTGGCTCAGCGGTAAATCTGAAAAGTTTTAACACTAAAAACTGGGTTTCTATAGTCGTGGTGGGCACAGCATAGTTAGCTCATTCTTGGGATTTTTTTCATGTTTTATGTAATTGTAATTATTTATTTGCCAAGTTTTATTAGTCCTCAAGAAGTGCAGTTTTATAGATTTCATACTTCAGATAATACAAATCATATTATTATGAAATAAAGAATACTAAATATTACTGAACAGTTCGCTGAAGAGGTACTACCAAATTTGACGATTAGCAATCTGTTTGTCTGTGCTGGTTATTAACAGCAATCAATTTTTACTCTTACTAGTTTTCTGTTTCAGTGGGTGCTATGATTGGCTTGTATGCATTCCTAAATATTAGCTTGACCAATTGTTGAAAAAAGTTTGTAACAATGTGGGACTTTAAATTTATTTATTAAAATTAATTGTTGATTTTTGAAATTTATTTATGACACTTAGAATACTTTTGTTTGTTATTAAAGTTTTCCTTCAGAGCTAACTATGTTATATGAATATGTTATATTGCCATTAGTCAATGAACAAGTGTAAAGGCGGAGCGTATGTAGAGTACTATCCCTTTCGCATTGATAAGCTCTCACGTGACATTCCTTTAACCAATTCTTCCAATTAGAAAATATTCAAGACTAGGACTGCCACCTATCGTCGTAAAACCACAATACAAATGTGAAGTTACTATAAATAGTTACTAACTCAAATTTGAAGATAACTTAATTGGCAACTAAAACATTTAATTTCTTATTGTGTGAAAAAGTCTAATCTGATCAATATAATAAAACTACCGACAAAACGTTATTGGAACTTTTCGGTGAACGAGGGGAATGTTCGTGGAAGGCAGGATTTTGGTATGTAAGCGTGCTGCCGATAGTAATTACTGTTCGACTTCCTTCCCTCCCTCCTCTGGAGTCTTGTTGGCTAACATCGGACAGGTCTGTTTCGTCTGCAGATCTGAGGTTTGTCCTTTTTTGCGGCGCATCAAAGTCCTCTTCACGAATGTTATTGTCCTCGCTTAAGAGGTAAGGTTGTCCACTAGATGGCGTCACAGCTATGCTAGGATCTAGATTTTGCTTCCGGACAGATCTAGGGGACTCTCCATAAAAGGATGGATTTCCATACGTCTCTGCCATGTCTCCCATGGGATCTCGTGTAGCGGCCTCAAGGTTGGCCAGCTGCCAGTACTGTATATTCTCGAACGCACATATCAGAGTCAGTCAGAGTAGGAATAAGTGACGGATTATTAATTCATCGTTTTTATATGATATTTCCACTCTGTCTCACCTAAAACTATATCATTATATGTTGTTGTTGTTTTTTAAGTTTTCGGTGCTGACTGAAGGATGTAATATCCTAGAATGTTATCTACCTTTTTTTCTTATTGCAGTATCTGTTTTTAAACAATTACGTTTAGAGAGTGTATATATATCAGCAAATATATGTAAGTTTTAAATACGAGGCAACTAAGCCTAATTTTATTGAAAGTATATTACTTTAAATATACATAGTAAGATATTTTTCAATGGTATGAATTTCAATAAATGGTAACAGTTTGTTGTATCTTTTTAGGTTTATCGGTATAACCCCACACAGTTTGTTATAAATTTCTTTTAGTCTCCAGTTTTGTAAATACAAACACTTCTAGTGTTTTCGACTACAGTTAATTCCAGGATATCAGTTGTTTGACATCATCATGTACTTTCATAAAAAAAAATAACAACAAAAAACACGTTACAATAAAGTAGCTAGTAATAAAATATATAAATATGTAAATTATCAACAACTAACCCATTTCTTCTCGATTAAAGCTGGATAAAGAAATAATGGTCAAGTAATCATTGTTTTTCAATCTGTTACCGTTTTCTTGACATTTTTAGGACAAACTTGGATGCGATAGAATATCTTTAGGAATTTAATGGCATTCCATCGTCTGCATTTAAGGAAATTGATGATTCAATGATTCCAATATATTTATGTGTATATGAGCATGCGCATTCTACAAACAGTTGTTTTTAAATAAGATAACCAATACTCTTCATTGTATCGCTAATGTAATATGGACTAAATTGGTTGTTTTCTCGTTTCTTTTGTTTTCACAAGATAATATAATTGATTGTGAATTAACCAACTGTGACTGTTTTTTTAAGTGGAAGATGAAAATTCACTTGATTAGGCATCTGTTCTTCATTCTTTTGTGTTTATATGATTTTGTTGCTGTTGTTGTTTTATCACCAACATAAGTTTAATATCCTGACGATGTCCTTTGTAGGTAGGAACTGTAAATTACAAAACGGATTTAATGTCCGCCCGGTCAGAGTGGAACAACTTTCAGATTTTACATTATATAATCACATCTTGATTTACTGGAAACGCCCACCAATAATTAATGTTTATATACAACCTTTCCCTTCTTTTTTGGCGCCCTCCAGTGGCACAGCGGTATGTTTGCGGACTTATAACGCTAGAAACCAGGTTTCGATACCCGTGATGGGCAGAGCACAGATAGCCCTTTGTGTAGCTTTGTGCTTAACTACAAACAAACAAATCTTTTTTTGGCAGTCGCAGTTACTCAGAGCTTAAAAATAACTCGTTATTATATGTGGTATTTTTTATATGTATAGAAATATATTGAAAGAACTCTTTACAGAATGTATTAAAGTCGTCTGAGAGTAGTCTGAAACTGTATTTTTGTAATATTATTTGATACTTATTATTTCTTACTCTGTGGTATATCTGTATGTGTTATCAAAATCTGAATGATTTAAGTCTCTTAAGATTGAAACGTTTATACATATATATATATATTTGAAATTTCCAAATAATGTGGTATTAATACACGTTACAATACAGCTTTGTGATCAGTGGATATGAACATGAGCAACATTTGTTTTTTACATTATGCAAATGAAGAAATAATCTGTTTTGCGTTTGTTTTTTTCCCCAGTATTATGGTGTAAAAAAGACATTAACAATTTTATCCTAAGGAAGTATGTTAAAATAACGTTAAATGTAGTAGCCGTAAAATGTGATTGTTAGGAATATTGGACCCTAAACGATTTTTTTGTTCTGACATTCAACTTTCCTATTGAGAACTTTAAAAATTTAACCGAAAATTAAACTCTTGGTATACTGGTGTAATTTTCGTCCATTTTTCTATTGATAGATCAATTTTATTTTTCTAAATGAGAATCCTTAAGCTACTGTTTAAATGTTTTAAATGTATAAAGATTATCTTGATAGTGATTATACCGAGTGGCCTGGTGGTTAGGACGCTTGACTCGCAACCAGAGTTATAATATGACTGTCAATCCCACTATTCATTGGTAAAAGAATAGCCCAAGAGGTGGTGGCGTGTGGTGTTGACTAGTCTATCACTGTTAAATTAGGGGCGGCTAGTGCAGATGGCCTCGAGAAGCTTTGCGCGAAATTCAAAATAAATAAACAAGACCGAATGTTTTCAGTAAAGGTTGTTTTGTGAAAATAATCCACGTGGCACGTACTTACAATGGTTGAATACGGTTGTAAGAAATCATCACGACTAAAGCTACGGGTACTTCTGTACTGTAAGTTCCACTATCCAGCTTGGCGACTTGGTTACTTCAAGTAGTGCTAGCTGGACTTGAAGATAAGAAATTGAGTGAAAATATTTTTTAAGATTCTTGCGTTATTTAAGTGATGGAAAATTGTAACAGATCTGCACGATTATTTATGTAATTATTTATCAGTGAATTCAATAATTTGAGATAGAACAAAAAAAAAGTTTGGTTTTCAGGCCCTGTACAAAATGCTTGTAAGTTTATTTTTATATTCTCAGTCATTGTTTTCCAGTTGTAGTTTTGAAGTAAATGGTTATTTAAGAACGTTGTAGTCTTTATTGGTGAAATATTTCCGTCCATTTGTACTTTGTGAAAAATAAATACTTTACAAGCGTTGTTATTTTATTTTTTATGTAATCCTGATAATTTATTACGTGGTTCAAGAACCTTAGAATATGAAAAATTAAACCTAACTGGGTTCGACCATGTAAACATTATTGCAGGGTTTCAAAATTAGTGCTGGTACCCACATAAAGTGCAATGAAGTCACCAGCTTCAATGTCGATAATGGTTGGTTGTACTGCGAAAGGTTTGTTTATGTTTTACATTTTCAGGGAAGTCCAGTAAAGTTTGTTCTCCTAAGCTAACCCTAATCCGAAACAAATCCGTATTCTTCTGTTATAACGAACTGAGTAATAACCTGCTATATTAAAAATGTGAGCTTTAATGTAAAACTTTTCGAACTTCCAAAGAACAAGACGCATTTATTTTACTATCGCTGCTAATCAATTTGTTACAGTAAACTGTTGGATGTATTCAATTTTCATCTTTTAACTATACAACTATTAATGATCTATTAAACGGAGCTGGTTGTTAAAATCTTCCACATGAATCAATTCTTGTCAGAACCTTACTCTTACATCGATTCAGATTTCTCCTGATAACCTTATCTGGTCTTGTAATATCTTGCCGAATAGCATTGAGGATTGTAGCTATGTCCAGCGCCAATTCTAATAAGATTGAAAGCTATACATGTACATGAAGTCGATATAGATCGAGTAAAGATTTGTAACTTTCCTCAGAGTGAACTCGAGTTAATAATTATAACTCGAAATGTATTCAGCTAAAACAGTTCGGTGGTATAACTAAACCCGTATAGGGTACTCTGGGTTATGTTCGTAATAAACTCAGCCATACTAGAGTTATAAATCTACCATCAATCAAACACAGAATAGTTTTAGGTTTATAAGTGCACTCATAATCTGCTCTGGTGATGTTGAGTTATAAATGTATTCACAATTAGCTCAGAGGTTAGGGCATAACTATATTATCAGCTAACTCAAAGCTTGTTACTCCAGAGTTAAAAGCTATAAGTACACTCACAATCAACTCAAACGGAGATTGCAGAGTTACAACTACACATGAATTTGTGTAGTAGTGATATGTTAAACATTAACAGACTTTCCCTTATTCACAGTCCTTGTTCACTGTTGGTCCTAGGAAGGATTGAGTTGTCCTCTGTTTATAGGTTCATTACATTTATTCAACACAGGAGAAACCCTGAAAACATCGTTCCAAGATCCCTATTACCAGTATCCATACTACCAAGTGCAAGAACAGTAAGAGTTCTCTGGTCTCTCAATATCCATTCAGGAGTCTAATGTCTAGCAGGAAATTTCTACTCAAACTCATCTAAGTGGTTTAGGATAAATTAAAATCAAACTGGACCAGACTTACATAAAATATACTCATTAAAAACTCAATAATACAACGTTAAAATTTACCCAATACCTCATTAAAGCCACCAGACTACCAAACAACTTATACAGGAAGGAAACAGCAGTAAAGAACCTAATTGTATTGTTTTACATACCTTTCCAAATTTTTCCTTTTTACAAAAAACAAACAAACAAATACTTCGACCAATCAATTAGCATAAATGTTGCTGCCACCTATTTACTTTTACTTTTCAAAAAAGATTTCCAAATATATAAATTTCTGGATTTGAATCTCTGTTTGCAATTGTTTGTTTGTAATTAAGCACAAAGCTACACAATGGGCTATCTGTGTCCTCCCACCACGGGTATCGAAACCCGGTTTCTAGCGTTATAAGTCCACAGACATGTCACTGTGCCACTGGGGGGTGCGTTTACAATTTACTTCAAACTCTTAAATATTTCTAATGATTCTATTATATGTAGTTCATATTTATTATTCAAATATTTAATCAATTTGACATTAAAATAATAAATATACAACGTTAAAATCAATACACAATTAAAATCATTTCAAAATAATGACTCTACATGTTTCGACGTGTCACACGTCATCTTCAGGACACGTCGAAACATGTAGAGTCATTATTTTGAAATGATTTTAACGTTGTATATTTATTATTTTAATGTCAAATTGATTAAATATTTGAATAATAAATATGAACTACATATAAT